TGTTCTTCTATCTGGGGATGGTATGGGTTGTGGTCCAACACAACTGGAAGACACCAGATTAGGAGGATGACTACACTACTGGAACTAAGCCTATGTACACAGAAAAGAAGTGATGGTATTATCTGTCCAATTTGCTCCTGGCTCTAATTTTCCCTGACTGCTGTTGTCTCTTTGTCTTTGGGGCAGTGAACAGCCTTCTCATTCTTCCTAAAGTTTCACGGAGAACTTGAGGACATAACTTTCTGGACCACAGAGGCCTTGCTGGCTGGAATAATCCTGAGAATTTATTTATTTATTTATGACATTTATATCCCGGCCTTCTCACCCAAAAGGGGATTCAGGATGGCATTATTCCATGCCCAAACAACAACAACAATTAAAAGAAATTAAACAACATATGTAAACATTAGATGACTATTGTTTGGTGCATCTTTATATACTATAGAATCAATGCAGTTTGACACCACTTTAATTGCTGTGGTTCCGTTCTATGGAATTTTGGGGATTTGTAGTTTGGCGAAGCACAAGCATGCCTTGGCAGAAAAGGCCACTCTGTAAAACTATAACTCCCATGATTATGTAGCATTGAGCCATGGAAGTTGGAGATGTACTCAAAGTCCAGAACACATAACCTCTGATCCAATAAAAAACTGTCAGCAGAAGAAGAGCAATAATAATAATAATAATAATAATAATAGCTAACAATGTATTCTTGTGTTGTTGAGGGCTCTCATGGCCAGAATCACTGGGTTGCTGTAAGTTTCCTGGGCTATATGGCCATGTTCCAGAAGCATTCTCTCCTGACATTTTGCCCATATCTATGGCAGGCATCCTCAGAGGTTGTGAGGTCTGTTGGAAACTAGACCAGTGAGGTTTATATATCTGTGGAATGTCCAGGGTGGGAGAAAGAACTCCTGAGGGTCAGCTAACACCTTGCAACAAAAGATTCCCCAAAGCAGCAACCAGGCAGGCTTTGAAGCAGCAAGGCCATTGCCAGTGCCATCCTATGAGGCTGAGAGAACATCACTTGTCCATGGTCACCCAATAGGTTTCTATGACTGAGTAGAGACTCAAACCCAGACCCTAGAATCATAGTATAATGATCAAACCACTATATCATGAATCTCTTGAGTCCTCCAGGCAGGAAGCAGCCAGGGTTTGAAGCTGCAAGGTCATTCAATGCTAATCAAGGTGGCCAATTGCAGCATTCACACATGCCTCAAGCAGACAAGAGTTCTTTCTCCCACCTTGGACATTCCACAGATAGATAAACCTCACTTGCCTAGTTTCCAACAGACCTAAAGATGCCTGCCATAGATGTGGACAAAATGTCAGGAAAGAATGCTTCTGGAACATGGCCATACAGCCCGGAAAACTCACAGCAACCCAATGTATTCTTCTTGTTGTTACGGTTTATCATCTATGCATGTTCTCAAGCTCTCTCTGCACCCCAAGAACTAGGAATCATGTATGCAGAAAAAAGTCACTCTTGTGCTTCTTTCTCATAATTTGCTTGGTGATGACTATCTTTGGAAAACAATTCAACTTTTCGGATGGGAACAGGAAGGACCCATTCCTTAGGAGCATCTCTTGCTTCAAGGGGAGGGCGTAGCTCTACCCACCAATGCCACCACGCGCTGGCATCAACAACGTTGCAGGTTCCTTACCTCCCCAATTATAACCCAGCCCAACCCTGTAGAGCCAGTTCCAAGCACTTAGGATTCCCATCTGACAGGTATTCTGGGTGGCAGCCAAAGGCGTCTGGGGAGACAGAAGCCGTCTGGGCCAAAACCTGGGGTTAAAAGTGAGAGGGAATGCGGACAGGGGTGGAGAATCCGTCTCCCTCCCTCCCTCCCTCCCTTCCTACCACTGCTGCAGCTGCCCAATAAGGATCCCGTGCAAAATCGACTAGGCTCCGTCTGTCTGCCATCGGGTGGGACAGGTGGCCACATAACTATGGGATGGGTTGCATGTGGGCTTCTTCTTCTTCTTTTTTGAAGGCTGGGGGTTTGTGGGGCCAAGCAACATTACTCAGAGAAAGGGAAGGAGGAGGAAAGAGGGGATAATCCTGCCAAGCGATGGGGCGAGGAAACATCTGCAGTGCCAAACCTCCCCAACAACTAGAGAGTCACCCTTCTCTTCCTCGTCTCCTTTTTTTAAGGCTACCAACCATCAACACAACATTCCCTTTGTCCTGGGCTGCAACCGACCCAAAAAATAGTGATCGACTATTGTGATTTTATTTTGTATTGTGCACTAATCTTGTATGGCTTTTTATTTTTATCTTTATTATATTTATTATTAGTTTAAGTTGTATATTTGCTTTGATGTAATTGTTGGGCTTGGTCTCATGTAAGCCGCCCCGAGTTCCCTTGGGGAGATGGTGGCGGGGTATAAATAAAGATGATGATGATGATGATGATGATGATGATGATGATGATTGTGCCAGCATAGATGACATTCACACTAACCCAGTGTTTCTCAACCTAGGGGTTAGGACTCCTGAGGGTTTCAGAGGGCTCACCAAAGACCATCAGAAAACACATATTTCGGATGGTTTTAGGAACCCCTTTGGTGTAATCCTTTGGGTTCACAGTGCTCTCTGGATGTAGGTGAACTACATCTCTCCTAGCTCACGGTCAAATCATCCCAAATCTTTCCGGAGTGGAAGTTTGGCCCAATCCTATCATTGGTGGGGTTCAGAATGCTCTTTGGTTGCAAGTGAACTATACATCCCAGCAACAACCACTCCCAAATGTCAATGTCTATTTTCCCCAAACTCCACCAGTGTTCACATTTGGGCATATTGTGTATTCATGCCAAGCTTGGTCCAGATATGTCATTGAGTCCATAGTGCTCTCTGGATGTGGGTGAACTACAACTCCAAAACTCAAAGTCAATGCCTACCAAACCCTTCCAGTATTTTCTGTTGGTCATGGGAGTTCTGTATGCCAAGGCTGATTCAATTACATTGTTGGTGGAGTTCAGAATGCTCATTGATTGTAGGTTAACTATAAATCCCAGTAACTACAGTTCTCAAATGGCAAAACCAACCCCTACCCTAACCTCACCGGTATTCAAATTTGGACGTAGCAGATATTTGTGCCACATTTGGTCCAGTGAGTGAGAATGCATCCTGCATATCAGATATTTGCACGACAAGTCATAACAGTAGCAAAATTACAGTTATGAAGTAGCAACAAAAATAACTTTATGGTTGGGGTTCACTACAACATGAGAAACTATATTAAGGGGTCACGGCATTAGGAAGGTTAAACAACACTGGACTAGAGTCTCCTCTGGAGGTTTTTTTAAGCAGAGGGGCTTTGGCTGAGTTTAGGTGCAGGGCAGAATGGGGTTGGGTTGGATGGCCCTTGGGGTCTCTGCCAATGCCATGTATAAATATGTGAAAATGTGTGAAAAGGTGTCATAAGAAAGAGGGAGCAGACTTGTTTTCTGCTGCCCTTGAAGCTAGGAGCAATGGGTCCAAATTCTACCTGAACGTTAGGAAGAACTTCCTGACTATATGAGCTATTCAGCAGTGGAACTCTCTGCCTCAGAGTGTGATGGAAGCTCCTTCCTTGGATGCTTTTAAACGGAATGGCAATCAGTCACTGTCAGGAGTACTCTGATCGTGCTTTTCCTGTATGGAAGGGATTGGGATAGACGGCCCATGTGGTGTCTTCCAACTCTATGAATCCATATGCAAAATAGCTATGGATTGCTGTGAGTTTTCTGGGCTGTATGGCCATGTTCCAGAAGTATTGACTCCTGATGTTTTGCCCACATCGATGGCAGGCATCCTCTGAGGTTGTGAGGTCTGTTAGAAACTAGGAAAATTGGGTTTATATATCTGTGGAATAATGTTCAGGGTGGGAAAAAGAACTCTTATCTTTTGAGGCAAGTGTGCATGTTGCAATTGGCCACGCTGATAAACACTGAATGGCCTCGCAGCTTCAAAGCATGCCTGCTTCCTGCCCAGGAGAATCCTTTGTTGGGAGGTGTTAATGCTGGACCACTCTAACAACCACCATGTCAGACTACACAAGGTAGCCATTGAAATCCACAAGCATGTGGACAATTTCAACAGAAAGGAGGAAACCATGAAAATGAACAAAATCTGGCTACCAATGTTAAAAAAAGAACTCTAAAATCAAGACAGTAAATAAAGAGGAACACTCTCAAAAGAGGGGAATTCCAGACAAGAATCAATCAGGGCCAGCTTATTTTTTTATTTGGGTTGTTGTAGGTTTTTCGGAATATATATGGCCATGTTTAGAAGCATTCTCTCCTGACGTTTCGCCTGCATCTATGGCAAGCATCCTCAGAGGTTGTGAGGTCACGGGCTATATGGCCATGTTCTAGAAGCATTCTCTCCTGATGTTTCACCTGCATCTATGGCAAGCATCCTCAGAGGCTGTGAGGTCACAATCTCTGAGGATGCTTGCCATAGATGCAGGCGAAACATCAGGAGAGAATGCTTCTAGAACATGGCCATATAGCCCGAAAAACCTACAACAACCCAGTGATTCCAGCCATGAAAGCCTTCGACAATATGTATTTTTTATTTATTTATCATATCAGAAGTGAACCATGGGTACAGTTATAATGCTTTTTAAACTTGGCATTATATTAAATGTAAATCATGGCCAGCTAACATCTCCCAACAAAGGATTCCCCCGGGCAGGAAGCAGCCAGGCTTTGATGCTGCAAGGCCTTCAAGGTGGCCAATTGCAACATTCACACTTGCCTCAAACAGACTAGAGTTCTTTTTCCCACTCTCACAGATATGTAAACCCCACTTGCCTAGCTTCCAACACACTTCACAACCTCTGAGGATGCCTGCCATAGATGTGGGCGAAGCGTCAGGAGAGAATGCTTCTGGAACATGGCCAGACAGCCCGCAAAAGTCACAGCAACCCAGTGATTCCGGCCATGAAAGCTTTCAACAACATAACTAGCTGTGCAACCAACCCACTGTCCCTTTTGCAGGCACTCACCTGCCCTCTGCAGAGCCCTGGACCCTCGAAGGAGCACCAGCAGGAGTCCGAAGACCACCAAAAGCATCTCTGGAAGCCCTTGTTGGGGACCCCGAGGCTGCCCCGCCGAGGGAGGGCGCCAGAACAGCCAGGGAGCCCCACAAGGGCGGGCGGGCGGGCGGGCGGGCGGGGCAGCCACGGAGGAGGCGGGTCCTGGAGGAAGGGGTCGCGGGGCTGCTAGCCGTGCTGTTGGGGCTCCCTCTCTCCGGGTTCCTGGCCCGGGGCTGCCATCGAGGGCGATCTAGGGCCGAAGGGGAAAGCCCGACGGTCTTCTCTGCTCTGCTGCCACTTTCCCCAAATCCTCTGAGATCAACTGGCTCGCCCCGACTCGGGTTTCGACAGCTCTGGGAGTGGGATGCTTATGGGTCTCTCTCTGTGTGTCTTCTCCGCCTTACTCTTCCTCTCCAACGCCAGGTGTCACGGCCAGGTGGGTGTCTCCAAGGCATCCGAAGCTAGAGCCTCAGCTCGGCGCCACCCGGACGGAGCCGCCTCCCCGCCACGCGTGTCTCTCGCCTCCGGAGGCTGAAGAAGGGCGCCCGCGAGGAGATCCCCAGTCTTGGAGGGCTGTGTGGGGCTGCTGCCTCTCCTCCTCGCCGCCCAGTCTCCCCCCAAGTGGCTCCCTTGGCGGACGGAGGCAGAAGGGAAGGCGGCTCCCCCGCCATCCCCACCCCGCTCCCCGCAGATCTCCCCGCCCCGAAGACAGGCCGCCCTGGGACCTCCCCCTCCCTCCCGCCCTCCCTCCCTCCTTCCTTCCCGGAGGAGGAGGAGGAAGAGGAGGAGAAGGAGGGGCCCGAGTCTTCTCCGCTGCTTGCCTCTTACTTCACTTACTCTTTGGCTAGGGATAAGAGATAGTAAAGGGTCTCAATACGCATATCTAGACTGACTCACTCAGGCTAGAGGATTAAAAACTATAATGATAATATTCTCCCATGGCAGGTGCTTCCTCCCGCTTGGCAGACTGAGCCGCACGCTCCTCCGCAGCCCCTTTTATAGCCTCGGCCTTTCTCCCCCCCCCCCCCCCCATTGTCTTCTTTTTTCACTCCCTCTCTCATTCCCTCCTCCTTTCACTCCCTTGCTCTCTCCTCTTTCACCCCCTCTCTCGACTTTCCTCTTCTTTCACTCCCTCTTTCACTCCCTCTCTCTCATTCCCTACTTCTTTCACTCCCTCTTTCCCTCTTCTTTCACTCCCTCTCTCATTCCCTCCTTTCACTCCCTCTCTCAGTCCGCATTCCCTCCTTCTTTCACTCCTTCTCTCATTCCCTCCTTTCACTCTCTCCCTCAGTCCTTCTCATTCCCCTCTTCTTTCACTCACTCTCTCTCATTCCCTACTTCTTTCACTCCCTCTTTCCCTCTTCTTTCACTCCCTCTCTCACTCCATCTCTCATTCCCTCTCTCATGCCCTCTCTCGCCTTTCCTCTTCTTTCACTCCCTCTCTCATTACCTCCTTCTTTCACTCCCTCTCTCTCATTCCCTCCTGCTTTCACTCCATTTCTCATTTCCTCCATCTTTCACTCCCTTTCCCTCTTCTTTCACTCCCTCTCTCCCTCACTCTCTCATTCCCTTTCTCTCATTTCCTCCATCTTTCACTCATTCTCTTCCATTCCCTCCCTCTTTCCCTCTTCTTTCACTTCTTTCACTCCTTCACTCACTCCCTCTCTCTTTCCCTCTCTCATTCCTTCTTTCACTCTCTCTCATTCCCTCCTTTTTCACTCCCTCTCACATTCCCTTTCATTCCCTCCTCCTTTCACTCCCTCTCTCATTCTCTCCTTTTTTCACTCCTTTTTTCACTCCTTCTTTCCCTCCCTCATTCAAGCCCTCTCTCAATCCCTCTCTCCTTCCCTCCTTCTTTCACTCCCTCTTTCCCTCTTCTTTCACTCCCACCCTCTCCCTCCCTCCCTCTCTCATTCTCTCTCTCTCATTCTCTCTCTCCCATTCCCTCCCTCTTTCCCTCTTCTTTCACTCCCTCTCTCCCTCCCTTCTCTCATTCCTTCTCTCTCATTCCCTTCTTCTTTCATTCCCTCTCTCTTATTCTCTCTCTCTCATTCCCCCCACTTTTTCCCCTCTTTCTCCAAAATAGAATCATAGTGTTGGAATAGACCTCAAAGGCCACCCAGTGCAGCCCCTGCATTACAGGAACACACAATCAAAGCACCCTCGACAGATGGCCATCTAGTCCCTGCTTAAACACTGTCAGAGATGTCCCCTCATTCCCCACTCAGTCTTCTTCTTTTCCTCATTTCCCCCCTCTCTTTTTGTCATTCCCCCCTCTCATTCCATCCTTCTTTCACTCCCTCTTTTTCATTCCCTCTATCTCACCCTCCCTCCAAATAGACTCATGAGCTCGTATAGTTGGAAGGGACCCCAATGACAATCCAGTCCAGCCCCATCATGCAGGAACACACAATCAAAGCACCATCCTCTGCCATGTGTTGCTGTGTCCCAGTCTGTGTATATGTGTTTTGTGTGTGTATATATAAGTATATGTGTATATATGTGGTTTTACGCATGCATTGTAATGTATTTTTGAAATTTTGGCTTTTTAAGTCTCTTCCATTGTGTTTTTCAGTGTTTTTATGAGTGATGGTCACTTGTGGGCCTGATAGGTGTCTTGTGTCCAAATTTGGTGTCAATTCGCTGTTTTTGAGTTATGTTAATCCCACAAACGAGCATTACATCTTCATTTATATAGCCTAGCCGTCCCCTGCCTGTTGCTGTGGCCCAGTCTGTGTATATATGCTTTGTGTGTATATATATTTGTGTATATGTGTATATATGTGTGTTTGCATGTGTGTGTGTGTGGTTTTGCACATGCTTGGAATGTATTTTTAATATTTTTTGGCTTTTTTAGTCTCTTCCACTGTGTTTCCCAGTGTTTTTATGAGTGATGGTCACTCATTGGCCTGTAAGGTGTATTGTGTCCAAATTTGGTGTCAATTCGTCCGGTGGTTTTTGAGTTATGTTAATCCCACAAACGAAACATTACATTTTTATTTATATAGATTTATATACCTGCCCTCTCAATGATAGATAGATAGATCAAGATAGATAGATAGATAGATAGATAGATAGATAGATAGATAGATAGATAGATAGGCAGGCAGGCAGGCAGGCAGGCAGGCAGGCAGGCAGGCAGGCAGGCAGGCAGGCAGGCAGGCAGGCAGACAGACAGACAGGTCAATAGATAGATAGATAGATAGATAGATAGATAGATAGATAGATAGATAGATAGATAGATAGATAGATGGGTAGGTAGTTAGATAGGTAGATGGATGGACTCAAACAATTGGACCCCAAGGGTCACGCAGTCCATCCCTCTGCCATGCAGGAAGACACAATCAAAGCACTCCTGACAGGTGGTCATCCATTAACACTTTCCAGAGAGGTTCCCTCAATCTTTTCTCTCTCTCATCCTCTTCTCATTCACTCCCTCCCTTCCTCAATCTCCCCTTTCTCTTTCTTTCATTTCCTCTCTCTCATTCCCCCTCTCACTCCTTCCATCTCTTTTTCTCATTCCTCCTCTCTCCTATTCCCCCCTTCCTTTTCTCTCTCATTCCCTCTCTTCTTTGCACATAGCCTTGAAATCCGAGATGGGGAGGAAAAGCAGACGAGAAAGAAGCGGAAAGCAGAGGGAAGGGGAAAGGGGCTGGAGCTGAGAGAAGCTGTGCCTAGGCATCTACACTGGAGAATGAATGCAGTTTGACAGCTCCCAGGATTCCCTAGCATTGACCCATAGCAGTTCAAGTGGTGTTGAACTGCATTGATTCTACAAGATGTACCTTCAGTTGAGGGTTGATGTTGGTCTGATCACTGTCTTGCAACTAAATCAGGCATGGACAAGCTTCGGCCTTCCTCCAAGTGTTTTGGACTTCAACTCCCACCATTCCTAACAGCCTCAGGCCCTCCCCGCCCCCCCCAGTCGCTTAAGCAGCTGAGGGGGAAAAGGAAAGGGCCTGAGGGTGTTAAGTCCAAAACACCCGGAAAAAGGCCCAAGTTTGTCCATGCCTGAACTAAATCTATATAAGTAAAAATGTAATGTTTGTTTGTGGGATTAACATAACTCAAAGATCACTGGACGAATTGACACCAAATTTAGACACAGTACACCTATCAGGCCAATGAATGACCATCACTTATAAAAACACTGGGGGGAAAACACCAGAAGGGACTTAAAAAAGCAAAAAGATGCTACAGCGCATGTGCAAAATTACTCCCCCTGGCAAACAAAATACACAATAGCATATCCATACTCTCTTCTGGACTACAGCTCCCAGCATCCCCTAGACCAGGCCCTTTAGGTGAGGAGGATGATACACATGCACTGCTTCCAAGATGCAAGCTTTCTTCTCCTTGAATTTCTTAGAGAGCATTGCTATCCCTGCATATTTCCAATTTCCTATTCCTGGATTGCAACTTCTAGCAATCCTCCAGATAGATACGATAGATACAGGGCTGGCCCTAGGTAATTTTCAAGTGTAAGCAAACAGTATTTTGGCACCCCCTCCCAAACCAGTCACTGAAAAATAAAACCTGCTGTGTGTGTGCGGGGGATTCGCGCTATACACAAATGCATATCTTGCCTATTGCTTCAGCCGTCCCTGGATAGATAGATAGATAGATAGATAGATAGATAGATAGATAGATAGATAGATAGATAGATAGGTAGATAGATAGATGACTGCTGGGAGTTGCAGTCCAAGAATAGGTAGAGAAGGAAGAAAGGGGAGAAAGGGGAAGTGAAAGAAAAGGGAGGGAAGGAAGGGGAGAAGGAAATAAAAAAGGGGAAGGAAGAAAGGAAAGAAAGAAAGGAGGAGAGAAAGAGGGAGGGAAGGTTAGTCACAGCAATGCACTGTGAGTACAGCTAGTGAATAAATAAAGCTTCCCTGATATGATAAAAAGGATGGGCTGGGGCAGGAGACATAATAGAGTAAGTGCAGAGCATCATCTCGCCAGCCAGTGTGGTTTGGGAAATGTTGAACTGCAAGAACGTAAAACTGGTTCGAGAAACCAGTTCAGCTATTGAGGTTTCCTTCAAAGGATCTCAGGAACTGTAATCTCGCTGAAAATGACTCTCTTCAAGTTCTCTTAAATTAAAAACACCTTTGTAGTCCTGTAATTGCCAGGATTCCTAGCTTGGGAGGCTGTGGCAGATGAGTAGACATGGAAAATTGCTGCAGCGAGTGTCGGTCTTAGTGGATCAAAGTCACGGGGTTGGATCCGAGAAAAGGTTTTCTCAGCAAGGCG